ATGTTTGGTTATTATTGAGTTCATGCTACGACTAGACCTGGTTACCACGTGGTTAGGGAGGGCGAGAGGGGGGTGTGGGTGTGATCGGGGGTGGTGGGTGCGGTTTGTTAGTAAACGACAATCAGTCACGTGACACGGAAACAACGTGCTGAATGTTTGCTGAGAGCGCAGCTGATCCTGATGTGCTTGGGTGGACACCATCACGGTTGTAGAAGGGAGTGTGGATAAAAATATAACCAGCTTGATATATATATATATTCATGTTTAAGGAATTATAAAGGTGTGCTAAAACATATAACCAGCTTGAACATAAAATGCTGCTTAAAGCTAAAACTGAAAACATGCAGATGTAGAGAAAAGGAGCTGCGAGGTTGAGTTAAAAAAAAGGTTTGTTTTGACAAGAGGAGTACTTGGTGTGATGGGAAACAGAAACTTTTAGAATACAATTTGACAATGGCTGAATTCATAGTTAGAACACAAGGTCACAACAGCAGCTGGGTGCGATAAGAACGGGATGAGAAACCAACGGTGTAGATGTAGTGGCCAAAAATAATGAATGTGTGTGTGTAGAACAAATGAAGTCTGTATCGCTTGATATGTACCACCCCTGGATATGTGTGTCAATAAAACGAGCCTGAGTTTGTGGAGAGAGCAAATTTCAGCAGTCCATCCTCTGACTCGCTGCTGGATCCTCCCTGTGCACAGGTGAACTCGAGCAACGACTTTTATCTTTTCTTTATACTTTGTGAAAGTTCTTCTTGATAGTGTCGAAGTTGATCAACGAATCCGGGGTGGTAAAACCTTACCACGACAGGAGTCCATTCCCAAAATAGATTGTGGTTTGGAGCCAGTCATTTAGTCCGAGAAGTCTGCTAAAACGGAGCAAACCCCGGGCGAGTGAGGGGATAGGGCCTGAGATAAAGACTGATTTGCCCGTATTTTTTTGAGTATGTGAAAAGTTTGTTAAACTGTGCCTTGGTGACTTCTGATTCGCCAAGCTGGACGTCGTTCATCCCGACGTAGATCACTATACGCTGGATGGACGATGGGAGTCTCTGGAGTGCGCCAGGAAGCCTAGCCAAAATGTCCGTGACCGTGGCGCCTGGGTAGCAGAGGGTTGCCACGTTGAAGAAACTGACATACCAGGAATCTGGAATCCCCTGTTATCAATGTTGCTGGAGGGAATAGGGAATGACGAGACATAGAGGGAGAGCCGGTATGGGACGGCACAGAGGGACCTGCCGGTGGGGATTCAATGGAATGGCGAGCGGCGGCCGATGACTTGGATGGTGAAGTGCTGATTGGAGACGGAGAAAGACTGGAGCAGGCGCCGTGGAGGACAGGAGCTTTTCGTGGCGCTGGAGTGAAGTACGGCTTTCATCGATGCATCTTGACCCGGGTGTGGCGTTCCCGTTTGTCTGGAGGAGCGGCAGGGGTTCGTTTGGGACCAGATGATGGCGGGGATGAATGGGGTAATTGTCCCGTTTTTCAGCCAGAGGGGGAAACTCCTGAAAACTGAGGACATTGAAGTTGTTGTCAAGTTGGATGTGCTGGTTAGGAAGTGTGTGGTGAGTTCTCCGCACGTCTGCCACGGGTACCGACCAGAGACCAGGGTTCGGTTTCTGATGGAGTGGAAATGACTCGGGCTTTTGGTTTAGCCCCAAGCTGGAGCCAGGATTCTTCAGAGCTGATGTTGGGTGGAGAAGAGGGGCTGGCAGCGGCCCAGGGCACTGGGGCCCAGCCTGCGGTGGTTTGAGTCGGGCCGAAGATAATGGTGTCCATTAACCGCTACTCCTCCTGGATCTGCTATAATGTGGAAATCCGTCCCTCCAACTCCACGATCTTGTCACTGAGCCGGGTACAGCTGACACATCCGGAAGGTGAGGTAACTTTGTGTTAGCTGTTGATTGTCGCTAGAGGGTGACAGAGGCAAAAATGTGCAGTTAGATTATAAACAATTCGCTTAGAACGTAACTATCATATAGTATCCAATCCATCAACTCAAACATCACATAAATGCCAACTAAACTTCTGTAGAACGTGTTTACTCTGCTGCTGCTCTGGCTGGGCCATTCAAGAACAGTCAGAGTTGTTGTGAAGCCACTCCTTTGTTATTTTAGCTGTGTGTTTAGGATCATTGTCTTGTTGGAAGTTGAACCTTCAGCCCAGTCTGAGGTCCTGAGCACTCTGGAAAAGATTTTCGTCCAGGATATCCCTGTACTTGGCCGCATTCATCTTTCCTTCGATTACAACCAGTCATTATGTCCTTGCAGCTGGAAAAACACCCCCACAGCATAATGCTGCCACCACCATGCTTCACTGATGGGACTGTATTGCACAGGTGATGAGCAGTGCCTGTTTTTTTCCACACATACCGCTTAGAATTAAGGCCAGAAAGTTCTATCTTGGACTCACTAGACCAGAGAATCTAATTTCTCACCCTCTTGGAGTTCTTCGGTGTTTTTTAGCAAACTCCATGCAGGCTTTCATGTGTCTTGCACTGAGGAGAGGCTTCCGTCGGGCCACTCTGCCATAAAGCCCCAACTGGTGGAGGGCTGCAGTGATGGTTGACTTTATTCAACTTTCTCCCATCTCCCGACTGCATCTCTGGAGCTCAGCCACAGTGATCTTTGGGTTCTTCTTTACCTCTCTCACCAAGGCTCTTCTTCACGATTGCTGTTTGGCAGGACGGCCAGCTCTAGGAAGGGTTCTGGTTGTCCCAAACGTCTTCCATTTAAGGATTATGGATTTAAGGATTTTTTTTTTTTGTAACCTTGGCCAGATCTGTGCCTTGTCACAATTCTGTCTCTGAGCTCTTCAGGCAGTTCCATTGACCTCATGATTCTCATTTGCTCTGGCATGCACAGTGAGCTGCAAGGTCTTATACAGAGAGGTGTGTGGCTTTCCTAATCAAGTCTAATCAGTATAATCAAACACAGCTGGACTCCAATGAAGGTGTAGAACAATCTTAAGGATGATCAGAAGAAATGGACAGCTAAATTTAGTTAAATATGAGTGTCACAGCAAAGGGCCTGAATACTTATGACCATGTGATATTTCATTTTTTTTAATAAATCTGCAAAAATGTCAACAATTCTGTTTTTCTGTCAATATCAGGTGCTGTGTATACATTGAGGAAAAAATGAACTTAAATACCCACTGTATATCCCCAAGTCTACTACATAATTGGGTTTTAAAGATTCCCAAGTCAATTAAGTGCAGGGGTAATTTTTTTTACATTGCTCACATGCTTCAGCCTCCTGTTTCGTACAGGCCATCCATCTGACATGTATAAAACAACTTGTACTTTCTTTGCCATGTTTCAAGAGTTTGCTCTCTCCTATTCCTGGACAATCCCTGACCTCTCACTGTCTGTGTGCCAGAGTGCCCTCTATAGATGTTATTGCCCTGCAGGTCACAGGGTTCGGCAGCTACCTGTGATCCAGTGATTTAACAGTTTGGCTCAAGGAGCTTCACTTGCGTGTCTTGAAAATGTTTTTCCATCCCTCTGTCCCTTCCCCTCTGTTTCTGTCTCCTTGTATTTCTCAGCACTTTATCTCCATTCTTCATCTGTTGAAGTGTTTATTTACTCCCATTCTCTTCCCTGCTGTCATTTCTGCCATTGTGTTCTTTCTGATCTCTTTTTATCTGTACTCTACATGGTGGGCTGACAGAAACGTGGACACAAACACACGCTCACACTGATACGCACACACTTTATCATAACCTTAATCCTCACCTTAAAGGTTTGAATTTAAACATGTTCGTCCTCTGAAATGTTAAAAATATGTGACACATAAACACAGTCCACAAACTGACTTACTTCATGGCTAAAACCATGGCTTCTTTTTCTGGATGTTCCCTTCATCTCACCCTATCTTCCTGCCTCCTCTGGTTTTACACCAACAATCTCCTTGTCCTCTTTTACACATCTACAAATCTCTTCTGACGTCTCTTCCCCTTTTTCCTGTTAACTCGGTTTTCAACATCCATTTCTTTATATATTTATTTTCTCTCCTCAACACGTGTTTAAACCATCTCAACCTCACCTCTCTAACATTATCTCCAAACTGCACCACTTTAACTGTCCATCTGATTTGCTCATTTCCAATCATGTTCGTCCTGGTCTCTCCGAGTATATATTATTTGAAAATGTTAAGCCAAAACAACAAAAACTCACTTCTTCACAAGACCAGGACAAACTAGGAACTTGAAGCATTCACTGAGCAGAGCACAGGAGTAGACTTGACCAGGAACAGACAACGAACAGATACAATACAAAAACAATGATCCCAAACGAACTGCGTGAGGGAGAGAGGTATATATACAAAGGGCACCAGGTGACACAAGTGAGGCTAATTGCAGACACACAGGTGAGTGTGATAACACAGCAGACAGCAGGAACAGGAAACAGACAGACCTGACAATCAATCAATCAATCTATTTATCTGAGGAATTTTGGAAGTATGTGTAAATCTGGTGTATTTCAGTCAATTATGCTTTATTACTGTTATATTAAAAAATATAATATTTAGTATTTTAAAGTTTAGATAGATGAATCCTCATCTTTTGTCTGTGACGCTTTGCCATGTGGATAAAAAGGCTTCTTGGTGTTGGTGTCGTTTTTGATCCATAAGCAGACCTGTAGGTGGCAGTGACATTGACAAATTGTTGATCAAGTTATAAAATGACTCATGTGAATTTATGTCATAAACCACCACTTGTATATATACATATATACAAAATTCATGTTGCAGTGTGATGACCTGTAGAATGAAAATAATTTGCCTCTGTAATTGTTACAAAGAACGAAGCGCATTGCTACTATTCACACATATAACAGATGTTTCCACCTCTGCTCCCTTTCTGACATAAACGAGAAGTACAATAATCATTGTTGCTTTCAAAATAATTAACAATTTTCTCCTCTGTTTTTCTTCTACCTTTCTCTTTCTTTCTCTGCTACTACTCTACTGCCTCTCCCTCTTTCTTCCATCCAGCCTGTGAGTTGATGAACCGTGGTATCTTGGCCCTGGTCAGTTCAATAGGCTGCATGTCGGCAGGCAGCCTTCAGACCTTGGCTGATGCCATGCACATCCCCCACCTCTTCATCCAGCGTTCCACAGCGGGAACACCCCGCTCTGCATGCCCGCCCACCAGTCGCATCCCAGGATCAGATGACTACACCCTAATGGTGCGCCCCCCTGTCTATCTTAATGAGGTCATCATGCAAGTGGTTTATGAGTACAGCTGGCAGAAGTTCATCCTCTTCTACGACTCTGATTTTGGTAAGGGAATGCTGTCGTTTGTACTCCATCATTTATTAAAATATGGACTCTGTCTGGCACCAGTGTCAGCACATTGACATCCATGAGGAGCTGTCAGGTATATGGTCTGTCTGAGAGACTGCTCTCCATGTCTGGAAAATAAAAATGCACTGCATAGGCAGACGTTGACGTGGGTGATTATTCAAATGCACGGAAACAGGCCCACACATAGCCATGCATCCTTAAACATCTCAATGCTGGTGGCACACCAGTCTGCCTGTGTGTGTGTGTGTGTCATTTCTGTTTCTCTCTGCCCCCCCCCCTTCTCTTTAGTCCATTAACTCCTACATTATGGGGTAAGAATTCTGTGCTCTTTTTTATTGACTAAAACTCTGCTTCTTAACACTTTAATAGCTCCTGTATATTGAAAGAATGTTTTGCCACATTTCATGCATGTTCATGTTCACTAGATATGTTTTATTCACCTGACATTTCACTGTCATTTTTCAAAGTGTCAGGCTGTCAGCCACTGCAGTGCTCTGGTTCATACCTAAACATCACATATTGACCTGCTGCAGCTATACCACAGTGTCATCAGGATGCTATATTTTCCTAGTAACTCTTAGTAGTACAGTGACCTTATCGGTGCAAATACACACTTGTCAATGAGCTGAAACTTGTGTGCTCAGCTTTGGTTTACACACTGCTGTGAGCTGAAAGAACAGGTACAATGTATGGGAAGTTAATAAAAAAAACCACCATCTATGACATTACACATTGGTGGATGAGCAGAAATATAACTCACCTAAGAGGTTAAGTTAATAGACAGCAGTGTAATAGTTTTCTGCCTTAGGTAATTTGGTGTTGAATTACCTCATATCACCTTAATGGGGTTGCATTTAACTCATTGTGATCAATTAACGCAATTAATGGGTTTTATGCATTGATTTCCAAAGACATCATTACAGTGGGATTGGTTCTGAAGTATTGCAGCGTTTTATCAGAGTATTGAATATGTCACACAGATATACTTAGTAGTGAAACCAGCCACTAGGGTACACGAATCAGTGTATTATAGTGCCGGTCCCAAGCCCAGATAAATGGTGAGGGTTGCGTCAGGAAGGGCATCCGGCGTAAAACTTTTAGCCAAATCAAATATGGGTCAGGGCGTGGATGGGTCATCATTTACAATAACAGCATTCTCACCGTGATACTGAATATTTAATCCATCATCTCTGACTCATCTCCAAAGAGATTCTTTTTTTTCCTCCTCAGACTCGGCTGCTGCAGCTGCCGCACAGTGAGGAGCGTTGACAGTTCTGTTGAAATCCTCTAGAACACACACATTTGTGGAGGCATGTTGATCCTCCCCACAACACTCCTGCTATTTCTATGTGCCTTGAGTCATTTAATCACAGGGAGGAATGACAGGAACAAATGGCCACACACAGTATTGTGAATCTCTGTGTCTAATATTGGACATGTCTTTAATCTACACTCTCCTGACGCTTGTTGCAATCAAAGAAAATCTTCAAAGAGACTTGATAATAAAGAATCTGTAGAACTAAGACTAAATGAGTCACTGAAATTGAATTGAAACTGAATTTCTATAATTCTTAAACCAAAACTCTATTTGGTATACAGTATATATATGTATATATATATACACATATATATAATTTAAAGTGACAAGCTAAGCAATAGAATGAGCTGCTAGCAAAAAAAGTATTAATAGTTCGTGTAAATACTTTATGAATTTTAACTTTAAATATGAATAAAATCGACTATACTAAGATATTTAATAGAGACTGTAAGGTAGTGGCAGGCGGATGGATAGCCAAACAACATCGGATGGTAGTGTGCAAAATGACGATGGAGGTGACAAAAAGGAAGAGAGTGAAGACAGAGCA